CTTTCTAGATAAGAAATGGCTGCTCAGTGAGATTAAGTGAATTGCCCGAGGTCATAAAGCTAGCAAATAGTGGAGCAAGAAGAAAGTCTGAGCTCTCCCACTGCCCACTGCTGAGAACCAGAAGCCCCCAATGACGACAGAAACCCTCAGGGAACATTATTGCCAGAGGTAGTTTTGTCTTCGGAACTTGCCAGAAGCATTCCTCTGCAATTGTCTCTGAAGCTGGGCTTCACTGTGAAACTGTGTGTTTCCTGACATTCTTTTAGGACCTGTTTCAGCACAAAAGCTGTTTGCTTGTGTATGGTCATAAACTGAACATATATATGGTCAGCCCACCAGAGCCCCTTTTTTTGTTCCTCCCTCAACTTTGATGATATAAACCAACACACAAGCAAAGCTGCTTTTTATGGATTTCCCTGGAAACACTTTTTTCACTTTTCTTCTTTCTCTCTCCTGCGTCTAACACTTTTCCTCTCTTTCCTATTCCCCCTTCTTATCCTTCATCTACCACTCAATTTCCAGGCATTTGGCTTTCCTCCCACTGACCTAACCCTACAGGAAACATAATCAAGTATTTTCTTTAGCAAAACTCGGTAATGTTTTAAGGTTTTTAACCACCATAACCCAAGATAAGAGTTAGATTCATATAACCCTTTCTCACTCTGGCCAGCTGAATTACTGCAAATTATTTCTCATAGCCTTGTATAGCCGAGATTATAAATCCTAACTGCAAATTGTCCTGATCTCAGATTTCTTTTATTTTGATAATAGTAACATGACTGAAAGGAAATAAAGAATAATTGTTAGGGAGAGGGAAGTCGAACAAAGAAGTTTGTCTACTGTGTGACCTCCGAGGGGAAGTAGCCACAATCTCCTTATTTCCTTACTCTTTCTTAATTTCTTCTTTCACAGTGGACCAAGGGAACCCTTGCAGGAAGAGATTTTAGAAGTGCTCAGTATGAGTAAACTGAGGCCCAGGACTGACAGAAGCTTAGTGATAGATGGAAACCTCATGCCTCTGGACTTTCCATTCTGAGCTATTTCTATACTCCTCTCAAGGAGTCCCTAGGTGGAGCCAACAGTTAAGTTAAACTGCCAACTGAAAGATTGGAGGTTGGAGTCCACCCAGAGGCACTTCAGAAGAAAGATCTGGCAATCTACTTCTGAAAAATCAGCCATTGAAAACTTTATGGGGCACAATTCTACTCTGACACACGTGGGGTCACCATGAGTCAGAATCAACTGGACAGCAACTTTGTTTTTCCCCCTCAAAGAGGCCAGGGGATGAGAAGTCATCTAACAGCAAGATTTACCCTTTTCTCTGGGCTAAAGGACCACAAGAACCACAGCCTCCACCAGCCTGAGCCCAGAAGAACTAAATGGTTCCTGGCCACCACACCAACTGCTTTGATAGGGATTGCAAAATACGGTCCCGGACAGAGCAGGAGGAAAATGTAGAACAGAATTCAAATTCACACAAAAAGACCAGACTTACTGGTCTGACAGAGACTGGAGGAACCCCCGAGACTATGGCCCATGGACATCCTACCAACTGAAGCCGCTCCCAAGGTCCACCTTTCAGTCAAAGATTAGACAGCCTATAAAACAAACAATAACACATGTGAGGAATGTGCTTCTTAGTTCAATCGAGACCAAATGGGCAACACCTGCCCAAAAACAAAGACGAGAAGGCAGGGAGGGACAGGAAAACTAGACGAATGGATACCAGGAACCCTGGGTGTAAAGGGAAAGGAGGATAGTGCTGACACGTTGTGAGGATTGCAACCAATGTCACAAAACCATTTGTGTATAAATTTTAGAATGAGAAAGTAATTTGCACTGTAAACTTTCACCTTAAGCACAATTTTAAAAAAACCAAACAATTCTTTAGGCAAATCTGCCTTAAAAAAAAAAAAAATTACCCTTTTCTCATAGACAGGATCCACTGGCTGACAACACCATGAGTTGTTCTTAGTTCCTTCACAAATGCTGGTCCTTACCATTTCCTCTGCTCACCCCACTCAAGCCCACCAGGCCAGCCCATCTGGCCAGTGTCCAGCCACATGGCAGACACACATGATTTGGGTTACCCAACTTCCTTGTGACATATCCTAAATTGATGACATTTGAAAGAAGCTGTAACTAGTATAGCAGGCAAAAATATTCCTTCAAACACACACACACACACACACACACACACACAATGTCTTTAACACTAAAAACAATCTCTCCTTCTGCAATCTGTTAGTGGCATAGCCTGCTAAGGAAGATAGTGGCACCCAGTGGACAAATGTTTGATTGTTTGAGACAGGCATTCCTTTCTGAAGTATTCTCATGTTTTAGTCTTAAGAAAGGTCAGTTGTTCCCTTTACTTTGCTCTATCCTTCTCTCATACCATTTTTTAAAATGTCAAATTAAAAGAAAAAAGAGGAGAGGTGAATTTCTTATAGTTTTTATGTTTTCTAGGTTAAAACTAAAACATCAAAGAAAACAAAATCTCAGGATTAAATCCTTTGAGAGCAGTGTCTGTATTTGCTTAACCTGTTTCAACAGTAACAACAGAGACCACCAAATCCACTAAAATGCTCAACTTAATTAAAGATGGAATATTGAAAGTGCCTGTAATGTTCTTTTATTCATCGTACTCTCCTTTCCCTCAAACCATTGCCAACTTCCAATTAAATTCACTTGGTTATGCAAATTTGGCAACTTCAGGGATAATACTTTAGGAAAATAACACACAGAGACCATAAAAATGCCCATTACCTCTTCAGGTCTTCCAAAGATTCTATTCAGCTGTGAGCTTAGATGTCTTTCTTCGCAAAACACCTAAGCAACGTCTTACTCATAGACGGTATATAAGAAGTTGAGTGAAATCCAGTTTCCATTTTATAGGTTTAATTCTCTAGACACTGGAAAAGGTAAATAAACTAACAAACCAAACCTGTTGCCGTCGAGGCAATTCCGATTCATAATGACCGTGTAAGACAGATAGAACTGCCCTGTAGGGTTTCCAAGGAGCAGCTGGTAGATTCAAACTGCTGACCTTTTGATTTGCAGTTGAGCTCTTAACCACTGTGCCACCAGGCCTCCAGAAAAGGTAAATGCATCGAGTTATTTAGTGTTACATAAAGGGATATTGAGCTAAGAATCTTAAATATTAGTGGACATTTGAAGTGTATAAAATATTTTATAAAGAACAAAAGAGATGAGTATTCATCTTAGTGAATTCAAATTTTACTGATTTACATGAGAAATCATTAAAAGCCTTTCAATTACAAAAGAACATATTATCTTCTTAATGCAACATAATGCCAGCTGGAGCGCCCCCTTTTGGTTAGCCATTCAAAAATCTTTCCCAGTTTTGAGGCTCTGAAATTCTTTGTTCCTTTGCTTGGAATGGTACCTCGTGTTCATCATTATGTTCTTTGTAACTCATAATTTTGCCACAGTTTGAGGCTTCTTTTTGTTTGTTTTAGAGAAAAGACCAGTTGGCAAGTCAGGGGGACTGTGGCATGCAGCTGAGATGGAAACTCTCCAAAAGGGTTCAGGCCTTAGGGCAACACATTTTCATTCAAGAACACAAGTCCCCCGCTGGTCCCTTGCATCAGTCACATTTCACCAATAAACAATAAACACATCCCAAAGTAAGGGATGCACATTTTAGTAAGCTGAAAATGAAATGGAGGTCATTTGTGTGTGTCACTACATTGCATGGTAAATTGCGTTCATTTTCTCATAACAAGCACCTTTTCCTGCTAGTTTCTGCAAAAATTCTTATAAAGTTTTGATGCAATCAGATTGTACTGCACAGAGATATTAGCTCTATTATTTGAAGTCTCTTAAAATTGCTTTTCAGAAGTTTCTAAAAGGTATTATCACATTTTATCAATTCATGAGAAATTGACAAATGTTTATAACATTTCAGGATCTCTTCTGTCCTTTTCTTCCACTGTTGCCAAGAGTGAGCATTGGTGCCCTGTGCTATAAGGGGGAACCCAGACTACAGACAGCTTTGCTCTCTGGGGCCAAGCTCCCTGGTCCAGGGAAAAAAGGCAACAATTACTATGGGATTTTCACTAAGCACTATACTATTTGTAAAACTTAATCATGCTGGGAAATGGCCCAGCCCCAGGTCTGAGCTTTACTGATACCAACACCTACAAGACAACCAGCTGCCGTTAAGCTGATTCTGACTCATGGAGGCCCCATGTGTGTCAGAGTAGAACTGAGCCCCATAAGGTTTTTGTCTGTGATCTTTCAAAAGTAGATTGCCAGCCTTTTCTTCCAAGGTACCTCTGGGTGGATTCAAACCTCCAACCTTTAAAATCAGGGCCCTGATGTGTATGCAGAACACCGATAAAGTATCTAGGCTCAACCTGTGATCTACTTTGCTTTTGTGAGTTTCAAAAACTCAAGAGGGAAGCCAATATTTGAAAAATTCTATTCCAAGTGAATTTTTCTCAAATAATTTAAGAAAATTACTCCTGTGTAGTTCTGATGGGTTTTATTTGACTTTAGGCTTAGCTGTTTATAATGCACATAACCCATACCAAAAAAACCAAACCCATTGCCATTGAGTTGATTCAATGTGATAGTATAGTACAGAGTAGAACTGCCTCACAGGGTTTCCAAGGAGAGGCTGGTGGATTTGAACTGCCAACCTTTTGGTTAGCAGCCAAGCTCTTAACCACTGCGCCATCAGGATTCTAAGGAAACCACTTGTTTAAAGACGTATTGCCTAACTGAGTTGGTTGTAGTGAATAAAAATCAAATGAAATATAAATGCAAAAGTATTTTTCAATGCTGAAGAGATCCATACTGATATAATTAATTATTGTTATATCTAAAGCAAATGAAATGTCATAGGTCTGTATGTGCATGTGTGCATGAATGTGTGTGTATCAATAGGGACAGAGATTAAAACATGCATTTAGTTTTACACTTGCTATACTGCACACTAAAGACTATATATTTCCAGTCCAGATGATGGGTATTACCTGCTCAGATAAGGCTTTAGCCTTTTCTTCTGCCTCCTTCAGGCAAATTTCCAAGGCATTGAGTTGTGCCAAAGTCAGTTCCATCTGTCCAGTTTCCAGGGATTCTTTCTATAACAGTAATCAGGTATTACTTTTTGACATGGATAGTTTCCTCAAACAACTTTGTGGACTAATGATAGGCTTAATAAACTCAAATAAATCCTCCCCTTTCCTTAAGACAGCAATAAAACAGCAAAACGTTATATAAACAATAGACTTACTTAGACTGGGATGCAAAGGGAGGGTAAAAATTGCATACTAAATTATGATTATTGCATATTAAATTATGACATTGAGGAGTGTTAGAGAGTTAAAATAAAATTATCCATATTGGAACTTGGCTAAACCACAACTTTTATTCGTGATGCAAAGAGAACTTTGCTTCAAGAGGTTAGGACCGAAGTTTCACATTCCTAAGGGGAGATGTTATCTACAGAATGCCTATGTTTTTAGCATTCATGTCTCTTGAGGAACAGGATCATCTTTAACTCACAGGAGCCCTTGTTTCCTCTGATCTTCACCTTTTATCACAAGTTACATTAAAGCAAAGACACTTGAAAGAAAATGTCACATGCTTTAGAATCAGTCTTTCTTTCCCAGAGCATGGCTAATATCATTCAAATCAGATGTGTAGACTTTGCCTTTCAAAAATGTTCTAAAGTTACTCTTTCTCAGCTACAAGCTGAAGAGTATACAAAATTGATATGGAAAAATCAGTTGTAGGTCCCATTGACACTAGAGCACTTTCTGACTGCTCTTTGACTATTGTGACAATTAATTAATAATTACGAAGCAATCTGAAAACTTAAAATGAAAAATCTCATGTATGCTGAGATTATGACCTTCGTATAGCCTCCCTGGGTGTGCTCTGTTTTCTTGTGAATGCTCCGGCTGCTGCAGCTGCTTCCAATTAATCCTGTAAAGGAAGACGTGTATTCCTACATATTTTAAAGGTCAGACTGTACTTTGTTCACTTTGGTTTATGAGACCACCGATTTTACACATGTGGGCATTTCCTGATGATACAATAGAGCCATCTGGTGGTAAATGGAACCAGGCATAAAAACAAAGCATTCATTCAGTTCCTATAGATGTTCACACGGTACTCTGAACCTTGGGACCCTGCCTATGATACCAACAGAACTTCATGGGAGGAGAGGCAAAGAAATGTCACAACGTCTCAAGACCAATCTGAGTCCTAGGTCAAGCGCTATCACACACATAATCTCCTCTAAAAGGTAGACTTTTGCGGGAGGAACATCTTGGGCTAGAACAGTAATACTTGGGATGAAGTGAACCAATGATTCTTAGCATCCAATAGTGATTTCAATAATTTCAAGAGTACCAATACCAGCACCCGTTGCTATCGAGTTGATTACAACTCATGGAGGGGATCCAAAAATTCTCAAAAAAAAAAACTTCAGAACAAAATTCTGGTGTATTTACAGTTACAGATAAAGACATGCTGTACAATATTTTTAACAGAAAGGAGGAGTTGTCAAAAGATCAAACTATTCCAAAAATATTGGAAATCTATGATCTAGACTCTTGTTTCCAGGGAGAATTATATTGCCTGATGTTTGATCTGAAGACTTCTTTTTTTAAAAAAACAAATGTGAGTAAACCCCGCAAGATCAGCTAATCCATTTCTCCAGGCCTTTTTCTCCAAACATCAAAAATTTCTTGAGCCAAGAAGGACAACCATTTCCAGTAAAACAAAAGTATTATAAATCAAAACTAAATGAAACAGGTTTAACTAAAGACTTATTAAGTAACACAGACTTTTTGTACAGATAGATTCAGGAAATGGCTGTGTGTTATAGAACAGGGAGAGACCTGGACAAACTGTGAAGAATGCTAAGTCCGTCTTTTGCGCTATCACTTGTCAGGCTCTAACTTGCCAGACTTTTCTACCTCCTGTTTCCCTCACTCCCTTAAGGCAAAGAATCATAAATGCATCTATACTCAGGTAAAAAAGGCTTATACAAAGGCAAGCACCTTTTAGTAGGAGACAATCCCCATTGACCAAACAAAGGAATAAAAATTAAGTCAATTATAATTTCAGGAATCAATAAATAAATGGGTGTAGGTACTTTGGAGATAGGTATATGCTCTCAGAGACCCTTAACAGTTAGATGTAGTCAGTTGTTCTTCCAGTTTTTAGAATGCAATGGCAGAAGAGCAGAAAGGTAGGATTTATAACATTAAGTTCATTCTGCTTCCAGTCACCTGCAGACATACCCTACATAAAGGAATTTGTACTAATGAAAATGAATACTGTCTCAGTGGTTAAAGTAATTAACATGTGAATTATATTAATCAACATCTATTACACGATATAAAAATGCCAAAAATATAGAAGATATACAGGTGTTTGGGGATTGAGCCTGAGTCTGTGAAATTCCAAATGGTAAATTCCAGCAAGTCAATGGTAATTCTGGTTATTTATTTCTATTCTTTGCTACAAAACTTTCTACCTAAATATCAAGCCAATAATTAAAATACATGTAGCTAAGGTAACTAAGATAATCAAGCTAAAAGAATATTAAGCAATATTAAAAATTCAACAAACTCTTGGATTACAGTAGTGATACCAGACTATTAAGGCTGTCTGTACTAATTGAACAAATCTTATATGAAATTTTAAGAGTAGGTTTCCTTTTGGCTACAGAAGTTCCTCATTTGAGAATCTATACGAAAATCTACATATTTTTTCTAAGTTTATTTTTCTTGATTTCCCTATCCTACCCCAGGACATTCTCATTGTCCCCTTCCTTGCTTTAAAGCCAGTATTTATCTGTCCTCTAATGATCCTGCTCTTCTCCCTCAGCCAAACAAATGCCTTTCACCCTTCAGGACTCCTTCAAAGTGTCTGATTGATGCAACTGCTTCTCCACCCTCCTCTGAATCCACGTTCCCCACTAAGAAAGGCTCCTGCATGCAGAGCCGGGCAGGACTTGCTGAACATTTAGTGGAAGCTCAATACATAATTGCTGAGTGAGTGAAGGCTCAGCAGTCAGGAAGAAGGTTACACCAGAAGGAGCAGTCCTTCATGCTGAGAGGCTGTAACACTGACTTCTCTGAGCAATACCTTCCAGGCCTGCCACACGGGACACTGACAGGACCAGAGTGCCAGAGAAACTTGGCTGGTCAAGACCAAGGGCCAGACAGTGCAGCAGAAGAGACGTCCATTAGGGTGGCCAGAGTGGTGAGGATTAAAGGAGGTAAAGCAGGTAAATATTTAGACAAATGAGGTGCTCAATAAATAAGTCCATTATCCCAACTCCTTCAAAGAGAATAATTTGATATTAAAACTTTCTTGCTTATTTTAAAACCATAGTAAAAGAAAGTACCCATAGGGACACTTTTGTTACAAGCAATCAAATAGCAGCAGTGCGAAGTTTACTAAAATATGCATTTAAGAACAAAGTTAGATTGCAGGGCAAAATGGCGCTCTAGGCAGAAGCACCACGCTGTCCCTCCATAGCAAAGATCTGAAAAACTAAGCCAAACAGAGAATACAACAATCCTGAAACCCTAAAACATCAAATGAAGAGATAAAGAACTCAGCTAAGCACCAAATGGAGT